TTGTATGTTCTTCTTTTACTTCTTCTCTAATTTTCTTTTTTTTATAATTTTTTTTTTATATTTTTTGTATTACATTTTTCATTTTAGTATTCATTATTGTACTTTTTTTGTTCTATTCTTCTTCTTTCTTTGTCTTGTTCTGGTATCATTTTATACCAATTATTTTCTTTTTTACTTATTCTTTGTATTGCCTTATTTCTATTATACTCATAGTCAAAGTCTACCTCAATTCACAGATTTTTTCATTTTAAGATTTCTTTAATATTCTTAATGTATTTATTGTCTTTTAGTGACTATTTGATAAACTTTATATGTTCTTCTTTTGTTTCTTCAGACATATTGTAAGCAGATATATTAGTAAGTAAACTGTTGCTTTTGTTATAATTTTTTTTGCTTGATGCCTATATGTTTTCTTCTAAAGAAATTTCTACTATGTCTATTTCTCTTTTCACTACCTATTTTTTTTTGGTTTTTTTTTTCTTCTGATGTTGAACTTTGTCTTGATTTTTTATTATTTATTTCTATATTTTCTTATTCTATTTCTCTTATTTGTTCTTTTCTTAATTTTTTTTTCTATATAAGTAGTTTTTCTTCTGTCTGGTTATACTTTTATTATTTATCTTTATTTTTGCTTTTTCCTTTATAGTGAAGTCTTCTTCTTATAGTTTTCTTTTGCTTGTATTGTCTTCTATTTTTCTTTTAATTTTTCTTTCTGTTTTATGTTTATCTTTTTGTTCTTCTTTTTTTTGTTATTTCTTGTTATACTGTTTTTTTATTTTTTTGTTTATGAAGTCTTCCAAGTTTAATCATCATTATATTCTTATCTATCTCTGTAAAGTTTTAATTTCTTTTCTAATTGTTCTCTTTTTGCTTTTTTAATTTATTCTCTAGTTTTTCTTAACAGTATAACTTTTTCTAAGCTTTGCTCTATAAGCATGTTAACAATCTTATCTTCTTTGTCTAGTATCATATATGTATTATTTGATTAATTAAAGAATATTTTATTATGTATTCTGTTTATTACCCAGTATGCTTTTTTTATAAAAATTGTTAATAGACTTTCTTTATACTTTACTAATTTTATATTCTATTTATATCTATATACTTTTGATTAGTTTTTAAATTTTCTTTATTATTTTGCTTATCTATATATAGAATTCTATATATATTATTGTGTGATTTGTGATGTCTATACTAATTTGATAACCTGTATATGTCTGTTATTGTTTTATTATTACATGTCTTTTGTGTAATGTAAACAGATCTACAGTACAGTGTCTAATAGCAATTTTCTACTATTATTATTTTTTAATAAGTTTTCTGCTTTTTCTTCAGTAGCTAATTTATTAGTTTTGTAACAAGATTTTTTTACTCTATTAGTTTATTGCTTTCTATATTGTTGTTTTTTTTTATTTAGAGCTATTTGAGAAGTTTCTTATTGCCAATTTTGCTAAAATTTTCTTTTTTCTTTAGCTATTTTTGTGTTTAAATAATTGATAAAAAAAGTTGTATAGATTCTTATAAAAGAAATTAATATATAATTTGGTAAGAGTTTAAAATTATATATATAATTAGTAGATATAAATATATTTTTTTATTTTTAATTAGTAAAATAATAAATTTTTTAAAATATAAGACATTATTATCAAAATACTAATAGAATAATTGTATAGTTTAGGTTTTTTTAAAAGAAAAAGTTTGATATAATAGATATTTATTATAACAAATATTTAAATCATAGAAGTTTAAAAATATTAATAATAATTAAAAGGATTTTTTTTGTAAAATTACTTATAAATTTTATAAAAAAAGATATTAAAAAGAATTATAAAAAATTGTAAATAGTTTATATTGCCAATTTTCAAATAACAGGTCTAAAATTTAAATCTTAGTTTTAATAAAAATTTGAAATTCTTTCTATATTATAGTTAACTGTTTTCTATTATTAGTTAAAATCAGATATCTGTTATCTGTATTATATTAGTATAACTTAAAGATTACATAATATTTGTATAATATAATATTATTTAAAAGAACACAAATTAGTATCAAGTAAAGTAAACTTATAATAAGTTCTTGTAATCATATAAATTACAAAAATTAGAAAAACAAAAACATATTTAAAAAACACAAATAGAGAAGCAATCTGAACTTTTAAAAATACTATTGTAAAGACTAAATCTAGAAAATAGAACTAAAACTTGTGAAATCAGATAACATATTAGTCTTTAAAAAAAGATTATAATAACTAGTCAAACTATTAAAACTTTCTAAAAGAAAAGGTTACATATCAGAAAACATATAAACTAAAGATATAATTGTATTTACCTTTTTAATTTATCTAAACTAAAAGCTTAGTAAAACTTAAATTGAATACCAAAATAATATAAATATATTATGAAATAAGTACTAAGATTGTGATAAATTCTACAAAAATATAATAGTTTAATGTTAGATTTTAACTATAAATATTAATTTTAGTTATATTATAACTAGATTAGTTATAAGAATAAAATACAAAAAATTTTAAAAAGTTTAGTATAAGATCAAAGGTTTTTTATTTAAGCAAAGAGTTTTAAAAACTTAATAATTATAATATATTTTTATTAGTATTGACTAAAATTGTTAATAGGTATAAATAATTAAACAAATACAAGAACTGAAATATTTAAATAAAAAATTTACAAGTAGGTTCTAAATATAACAATTAAGATAGAATCTTTAAGCAGACTACTTAAATTAGATAATAACTAAAGTTGTATAAATAACTAGTTGTATACTCTTTTTATAATTGCTTCTTATAATTGTAATATAACTATTAGCTAAATATATTATTAATAAAATTTTAAGTTGCAAATACTTATCTTAATATTTTTTAAAAAAAAATTGTAGATAGTAAAATAGTAGTTTTTTGGTTTAAATAAGATTAAAATTGTTAATAATTTGATTAATATTAAAAGGTTTTTGATTTGTATTAAAATCAGATATTATAAAAGTATTATCAAAATTTGTTAAGAAATTAAATTATATTTTATTAGTTTTAGATTATATTATATAAGAAAATTTTAATATTTTTTTAGCAATAATTATTTTAAGATTGAGTTTGAAGAAATTTGTATTAATTTTAGAAGCTTTAAAGTGTATTTTAAATTTAAAAAAATAGTTTTTTTGTTTCTAATTAAAATCTTCTTTTATAAACTTTTCTAATATAAAATATAGATAGTTTATTGTTGGATTTAAGTATGTAAAAATAAGTAATTATTTTGACTAGAAAGTAAGTATCAGTTGGTTTTGATGTAATTTTGTTAATTGCATGGTAAAAATAAAGATTATCAATTTGATCATTAATAACAACTGCTTTAAGATGTGTTAAAATAACTGTAAAAGTAATAACTTTCACAAATCTGATCTGTCTTTTGTTTTAAGCTTGTTGAATTTATTTAAAAAGTTAAAATAGATTAACTTAAAAAATTTCGAGTAATTTTGATTTATTTATTTGTCCAAAAAATATCCACAAATGTCCAAACCATGTTCACAACTGTCCCGTGCCAACACTGACGTAGATGATTATAATCACACCTCTATATAATTACGCATTTAGTTACACCCAAAAGTGTGATTACAAAGAAGAAAGACCGTAATAAGTGTTAATTCTGTCAACCTAAAAAATTTCGCTGGCCAATCATATTTCAAGATCAGATGTTACGCAGAAACGCAAAAAATCAAAATCCAAAAAATCCATTTTACTTATGAAACTATTAATAAAAAATTTTCCTTGCGAAATTTTGGTATTAAAAAAACTCTTTCTAACCTAAGTTAATAGCAAAATCTAACACTAATCTAGCAGTGAATTTTTTTTAGCGAATTTTTAGGTTGGTAACGCTAGGATAGTTTATTAGACTATGGATATGTCTCTAAAACGTATCTATATAACTATATAACGAACTGAATTAAAGTACCGTAAATAGCTATATACAAGAACAGAGTCTGTTATATTCTATCAATTTTAAACTTTTAGAGACCCCGGGTATAGTACATGGTTGAGTTATAATGTCTAAAGCGAAAATTTGAAATGCATACACCTTGCACTTATGCAATTTGGGTTCTGAGATTCTGAGACCTGCACCCGAATATAGTACTTGGGTGGTGCTCATTTCGCCATCATTTCAACGACAGCCTATTTCAATTAGCCGGCAGGTTTATTTCACCGACAAAGTAATTCTGGTCATTTTCGTTAGGGTCAGTTAGAATTAGAGTTAATGTTAGTGCAACTTTAAAAAAAAACTAGTCGCTGAAATAAACTTGTCAGTGAAATGACGTACCCTAATACATCCACCAAAATTCAACAAATCATGAGTACATCCAATCAAATTTCGAGATCAGGTGAAAAAAAGTTAAAAATCGCCTGTAACTCGATGAAACCTGCTTCTGCACACTACCCTTAGCCCTAAACAATTTGTTTTTGGCGAAATTTGATTGGATGCACTACAGCCATTTACGGTAATCGGTAATTTTATATACGTAATGATAATAACGATAATATTATACGTAATCCAATATATATAATCTTTATCATCCACCTATCTTTTTGTGAAACAGAACTTTTATTATCTCAGATCTTTAATAACCCTTTAAAGGTTTTTTGAAACTCTGACCTGTTTAGGATGTTTAAAAACGTCAACAACCAGCCCAAACTTGTTATGGTTACATGAATACTTGTAATGTAGGTACGTAAATAGTTATATATATAACGATATTGATATAATATATCAGATATGCTAAAATTGGTATTGAGCCTTTATTATAAAGTGTCCACTCGGATCCTTTTAACCCAATTTCAATCGAATCAAACTTATTTTTTTCTGATTTTTTTTATATATGATGATCTTTAAACAAATACTTAGAACCGTTTCACCCCTTATCAAAAAAAATATTGGTTCATCTATGATAATCACAATTCCTCATTTTCATTCCTTTCAAACAATAAAATTTGGTTTTAGACAATTCACTCAAACATCCGTGTGCAGCTCACAAGAATATTATCTTGCCAAATCCCCTCAGGGTGAAAATTACCGTTTACAACTTGTCAAATCAAAGCACTTGACCGGTACTAGGTTTGAATGAATTTAAATGATTATGTCAATTGTATATTAGAGTTTTATTTTTTCTGATTTTTGATTCTGATTTCATATTTATTCTTGCATTTACTAGAACAAGTAGAGGAAACAGAGAATTCAATGAAGATCGATATCAAGCTTTAGTTCTCGAATTTAACAAGTCAGATAATTTAATTAACTTTCAAAACAATGGTGAACAGATCAGTTTAGGTAAAAAAGGTTCTGAAACAAGTGGTCAAGAAGAAGAAGGCAAAGATGGCCAGATATGTTATTTTGCTTTATTTGACGGGTATGTCTTACGTACTTAGTCTTTATCATTGAATATTTTAATTTTACATTAATCATATGTTTTTTTTTTCTTTTTGATTTGTTGATTCTAATAGCCATGGAGGCTCTCAATGCGCTGATTATCTAGTTGCTAATCTTCATAAACAGATTGAAAATATTCAAGCTTCTAACTCGGACGATATTGTATCCCAATGGAGAAAAGTTGGAGGGTTCGTAACCGAATCGTTGCTTGTCTAATTAAATAATTTGGTTTAAACAATTTAGCCATAACTATATAAATATGCTTTATAAAATAGCTATTTTCGAAGGTTTCTGCCTGCCGCACTGGTTCCCCTATTAAATCCCGAGACACTTAAAATTACTAATATACGTCAAAATACAATTGTTTCTGGAGTCAAATCTTCTAAGGAATCGCCTCCTCCACCAACATCACAAATGACATATCCTGTATCAGATAAATCAACAAAATTTGAACTTACTCTAGAACAACGACTTATATTATCATTTTTAAAAACTGATCTAGAACTTATGAGTTCCATTGATCCGTCATTGGGCTCTACTGCATCGATCGCGCTTGTGAAAACATTAGATGGTAGAACGTTTTGGTCAAGCAACGAGCTGGAAATCACTGTTGCTCATGTTGGAGACACTCGCGTGTTGTTATGTGATGCCCATTCGGGAAACGCTATACCTTTAACATTTGACCATCATCCGAATTCTGTTACAGAGCTTGATAGGTTACAGAAATATGGTGGTTATGTAATTACAGATTCTTTTGGAGCCGAAATGATCTTGGGGAAATTAGCTATCACTCGAGCATTTGGTGATTCAAAAATGAAGAAATACGGAATTTCAGCAGAACCAGATATCATTAGTAAAACGGTCAAAGGAGATGATGTCGCATTTATGGTATTAGTTTCGGATGGTGTGACTTCAGTCTTAAATAACCAGGAAATAGTCGACTGTGTGAGTTTTTATTGTCAATGACTTATATCTGTTATATATAAGATTATATGTCGTTAGAATAATATGTGTCTGATCAAAATTTAAATAAGGTAGAAATAGGTATTAGCTGAATCATAACTATTTTAATCTGACGCAAATATTAATTTAACGACATACGAGTGACACCTAAGGAAAAACCAGGGCTTTCAAGTTTATTATTTACTAGACTCAATCCTGATACCCTAATCAGAGGCATATATGAGAACTAGTCTGGGAAAATGTCATTCTGGGAATTTGAGAATTCTCCTCTAAAAGTTTTTTATTAATACCCATTTTCACTACTTTTATAAATAATGTCGAAATTAAATATAATTTGTAAGAGTAGTAGTGAAAATTTTAGGGAATTAAGGCATGACATTATTAGTCAACTGAAGAATTCTCAAGTCCCAGAATAACATTTTCCTGGACCAATTCTCATATAATACGCAAATAGGTTAATTATGTATTATATATACCGCTTATCAAGGTTGAGTCTTATAAATAATAAATGTGTGTTGCCAAGGGAAACCAGTAAGTACAAATTTAAGTTTTTACTATGCTGAATTCAAACTAGGCCTCCACAAAAGTACATGTGCGATTTTGGAATTTTTAGAGGCTATAAATTATATTTCACAATTGTTGCTTGAGCCGATGTCGATATGTGATAAACCCAATTTCTGCACAAGGTTTCCACTTAGCCTGTTTCCAAAAGCAGACCTTTAAAGTCAGACTAGTACAGGCTCAGACCCAATCTCAGGCTCATACCCATCTGACTTTAAAGGTCTGCTACTGGCAACAGGCACGAATACCATATAAGCGCGAAGTAATGTTTATGGGCGTTATTTTAAATTCATGTTTCGAAAATAGTATACGTAGCCCCAAATTAGCGGCCATGGCATCCCAATATAACTAGTGATTGTGCCCTGCTTACGATAACAGCTAGTCGGAGTGTTTATTAGTCTAAATATTTAAGTAAGCTATTCAATTTCATAAATGCTTACGTCAATCATCCTTATTTCGAAATAACGCATACCACATACTGATCTCGACTCGAGCACCAATTGCGAAACAGTTTTATAGCATCCAACAATCCTGAAATCACACAAGTAATTTTTGCAGAGGCCTAAGAAGAGTGCCATTTATTACGTAATTTTTTAGGAAGGGGAAAGGTCAGCAATTTATCAGGTCTATAAATCGAATATAAATGCTATATTAGCTGCTGATTTATCTACTAGGAGGGAGCCTTTTAGTAAAAAAGAATTACGTAATAAACGGCATGCCCCTAACTTAAACTAAGAAAATTTGATAACACTGATTATTAAATTTCTTAAGGTAAGTTCGGCATAGTGAAAATTTAAAATTGTACTTGTTTTTCCTTAGCATCACCCATCTCTTAGTAGCGCAAAGCGAAAAACTGGAACTCTTCATTTTCGGAAAATTCGCTCTATAGGCCTTTATATTTTTCATATCAGAATTTCATGCGAGATATAAATATTATTCAGACGCATGTTCTGGACGATAAACGGTCTTAATTACTATCCGAAGTGTAGCTATAGTTGACGGCAAAATTATTAAATTGCACCATTGTTGAATTATTTACAACAGTAACGCATTTTATTGCGGCATTACAGAAATGCGGAATTTCATTATTAGGGACCATTTAATCGCATAAGAAATGTACTATGGTTGTTGAGTTATGTTTGTCACTGTCAAAAAGATTAAATGGTTAATAGGTTAAACGATTAGAAAAATTTTAGACAATTTCAATCTCTAGTTTTTTTCCGTCAACTATAAATCAAGAGCCCATAAAACTTGGATTTTATTTATAGGATTTGAAATTCATATAAATAAACCAAAATGTTTAGGGTCCCGTATTGGGTACTTTCATGCATCAAAACCATGATTTTGAAAACGTCTGTCCGTATGTGTTAAAAAACAATAACAATTAACCTAGTATATATATTTGTTATTATTAGATCAAGAATTATGATGATGTAACTACTGGAGCAGAAAAACTCGTTGAACTTGCTGAAGAATTAGGGTCTGAAGATAACATAACCGCGATGGTAATACGACTACCTGCATGGGGAACTAAAATGCCGGATCATACAAAAGCCTTAAGGAAGTACAGACTTGAAAATGACAAACCCGCAATAAAACGACGTGTGTAATAATTTATAAAGAAAGAATGTTAGACTTCATTTAACGTAACAAATAGTACATTTTATATATAGACATTTGACATCCTAGTGTTGTCAAGTGCAATAATTTAATAGATACTACAACTTATTCTAATTCACTAGTTAGGTGATTAATATTACATAAAGACTCGCTTCTGCCATTAATTTTTTGAACCTTACCTGACTGCTCACCTTTCATTGCATTCACATATATATAAGAAAATGAATTATTATATTAAACATCGGGAATTACATTCTTAAGGAATTGCGCTAAATCCTGAAGCTCCTCTCCATTTATAGAATGAGATAACGTATTGTAGGTTTTGAAGGTGACCTGATATCCAGTAGAAATCAATGATTCAGATGATAATTTTCCAAAATTATATGGCAAAATCTGTATGGATGAATTTATCAATTATTTCTGTAATGATTAGGTCAATAGATTAGAGCTTGGATCCGGTCATCCGTTTCATATTAAATTTAACGGATATCCGACGGATTTTACTATTAAATTTGTATCCAACGGATAACCGAATGCAAGCTCTACAATAGATAATAATAAAAAAAACAAATAAACATTTAAATACCGTGTCAAGAACACCATGAGCCATAAAAATTGGTGTTCTCTTATTTGATTCTGTGGCCATCTATTCAAACAATGAATTCGGATAAATAAATATCGTTTTTGTTTAAAGATACTTAATAAACCAATGATAATAACCCTATAGATCTTTTGCCTAAGTGGAAGGTAACCACTCAACCTATATAAGAAAATTAATAAATAAAACTATAATTTATTCTTTCACTCTATATGATAAAAACTCACACAACTATCCCAGCAAAGCGGTATTCAGATGTCAAGCCAACCAGAAGCGACATAGCCGAGCCTTGAGAGAAGCCACCAACAACAATGCGATTAGAAGGAATACCCGAATCTACTTCATCACGAATAATTCCGTTTATTCCCCTAACTGAATTTAACATGCCTTCTTCATCTTCACCTTGGGTTTCTATATCATCTCCTAAGGAACGAATATCATACCTGCATCCAATTAATTAGATAAGTGTATAAGTGTCATAGAACCGATTAACGGACTTTCACAAATAAGAGATAAATATACCATGCAGGCATGATCATTCCATTATTCACAGTTATAGGTCGATTTGGTCTGAATTAAAAAAAGAATAATATTAATAAACAACTGAATAAATTACAGAGACGCATAAAAATATTACTCACGCGTTTGGAAAAATAAATTTAACGTGACCCAATATTTTACTCAAGTTTAAAAATGCAGGTGATATTCCATCACCGCTATCTCCTAAACCCTTTTTATTGACGAGTACATTCAAGATTTTTTTTTATTCAACTATACGATTCATAAGATTTAACTTACATGATTAAAAATCACAGTAGCAGTATGGGGCTTGGTAGAATTGAATACAACTGACGTTAAATATGACATTATGTTTAATAAATATTATAAGTTGATAAGCATAGAGAAACTATCAGAATTTTTCAAATCGACGAAAGTATTATCTGTTATGCAAAACATTCATTTTTGATACCTCTACACCTACTTTTTTACATACCCTAAAATTTGATAATAACGTGCGATATTATTGGTTAGTTTTAGATTATGTTTAGATGTATCAAAAAAATAGGCGTAGGAGTATCAAAAATGTATGTTTTGCATCTGTTATGTAATTGGCAGTTGATCAGGCGAATACGATTGACAGACACAGAAACACGTGATATGATTTCTTAATTCTGCCATATTCTAATACTAATCTTAAAGATAATGCTGGCCATGTTGTGTCGTTAAAGTTAGTGCTGGTCATTAGAAGGCTGTGTCTGTAGCTTTCAATTTCGTGATATTCGTATATCTAAAAATAGATGACCATTAAAAAATTTTTAATAAGCATATAATATTAAATATTAAAGTTTTTTTTTTTTTTTAATGTTAAAGTTTTTGTCTTTAGGGAACGATTTTTATTCAAGATATATGGATACGAGTGCCTTCAAGGGCTTTCTTACATAGGAGGTTACAACTAGTCACATGTGCACTTTTGGTACTTAATTTAAGTAGTTCAAACTATTAAATATTAGAAAATTTTTTTTTACTTAAAAAAAAAGTTTGTAATTTATGATACATATTATTTTTTTAAAAATATTCATGCTTTTCTTAATTTATGATATTATTAAGTATTAAAAAAACAGAAACTATTACAAGTTTAAAGCAAAATTGCATGAGATTTATTGTATTAAATAAATATGCAAATATTATAAAAACAAATAAAAAAATTAAAATTATATTTTTAATATTCTTATTTTTTTTTTTTATATCAAAAATCATAACTTATACTTTTAGTTTTTTGTATTACTATTACATATATTTACATTACATTTGTGTTACTAGATTACTATTAGCTTTATATACTCAATATAACATTATACCTACATTTTCTATATATCTTTTTTGTAACCTTCATTATATATTTTAATTATTATTACTAAATTATTAGAAAGGTGTCTTGTTATACCTAAATTTTCTTATTTTTAGCCTAATAGCAATCTATTTATTTTCTATTTTTAGTAACTTATTCTTTTCTCAAATTGGTTAATTCTGATAGTTTTTTGCTCTTTTTGCTACTAGTTTGATATATACTTTCTAGTACCTATTGGTATAGTTAGATTTATCAAAATCTGAATTATGCTGATCACCAAAACACAAAACTTGCAGAAACAAAAATCAAGACTAACAGGAAAACCACTGTCAAAACTGTGATTAGAGACTTAACAAAAAAGAAAGAGCTGCAAAAATAGAACTAATAAGCAAAGCAGCAGAAGAAAACAAGTCAAAAAGCAAGTAAAGAAAAGACAAGCTTTCCAAACAAATCTCAAAAAGAAAATTTTGGGGAAATAGCTTAGACCTGGAATCACAGATCTGTTTGAAACACATGAACATGTGAAGAGACAAACAAACAGGCACATATAAATATAGACAAAGTAAACATGTAAGTATCATAGAAGGCACGTAATTATAAACAAAGCAGCACAGAACACAGTCACAGATAATATAGGCAAAAGCAGAAGAGTCAATAATGCTAAAATTGGTAAGTAAAAGAGCAGAGGCAATACTAAAGCTCATAGGCAGCAAAGAATTAAAACAAGAACTAGCAAATAGAGACAACCATTTCAATGTAAGAGATATAGTAGCAGCAGCACTATGGAAAACAGACTTAATGGAAACAGTAATGATAAAAAAAATATATGAAGCAATAATTAAAGTAGACATAAGAGACCCAACAAGTGTAGAAAAATGAACAGAAGAGATAAACTGCACAAACCAACACCTATTAGCAGTGCAAAGTATGAATAGCAAAAAAGCCCAAATAGTATCAAAAGAAGAAAACAACACATCAGAATTATATGTAGAGAAAATAAGACAAAAGACAGAAGCGGTAGATGTAATAATGAATGAAAAAGAAACACAACAAAATACAAGTTTAGAAGAGAAAGAAAGATAAAAAAGAAGAAAAAACAAAGAAGTTACAAAGACAGAAACAACAAATATGATGATCGAAGAAACAAAAATAGACAATTATATGGAAGAAGAAATAAAGACACTGAAGACAAATATAATGCAAGAAGACTATAAAGACATCATCATAGCAATTAAAAACCAAGAAGAAATTGAGATGGATAAAAGAAATGGAATCCATGAAACAGAACAACTAAAAAATAGAGATAAGACTATAGAAGAACCACTAGAACAAAGCATATAGTTACTCTCGAACAGAGAATGCAGTAACGAAAGAATGTATGCAGCAAAAATACCAACATACAATGTACCAGGTAGTTTACCAGATGAAAGGACAAAATTCATTAACAGATTGCTAGTATCCAACAAACATATTAAAGAGGTCAAAGAAATGTTTAAGAGGGGTAATGCTTGGATTACTGTCACATTTGATTGTAAATATGGCAGAAAAGAAGCAATCAACAAAATCCAAAGAAAACACAATGATTGGTTTAGAATGATTCCAGATATAGACGAGTCAGAAGAGGAGAAGACTGAAAAAGATAAGAAGTTAAAGCATAAAAAGGAGCTGATAGAAGAGAAGAAGAATAAAGAAGAAATCAAAAGAATAGAAGACAACTCACACAATCAAGATGAAAGAAGTATAAACAAAGAAAATAAAGAAAACACAGTAACAGTAACAGTATGGAACCTACCAAAAGAGATGACAGAGTATGAAATCAAGTACTTAGTAAAAAGAATAGGTAAAGTAATAGAATACAGAATCTGAAAAAGTGCATACAGAACAACAGCAGTATTAAAAGTAAAAAGAGAAGAAGAACAAGCACTTCCATGGGTAATTCCATTAAGAAGCAGAAAGTTAGCAAGAATGACAATAGGTGAAGAAGAAGAGAAAAAGAAAGAAGAAAGAAATCAATTCATAGCAAGACTAATAGGAATACCCAAGGGAATCTCTAAACTAATTCTACTACGAGAGCTCAAAACCAGAAAGGCAATAGCAGTATACATCCTACCAAACAGATGGGAAAGACCAAAAAAGTATGCAGTAGTATCATTTAAAAGTTAGGAAGATATAAATATGACTACTAGAAAAAAGGTCTGATACAATAGAGTCTCGATGTTCTGGGAAATCAAACCAAAAAGATTAAATAACCAATCTTATAAAGGCAGCAACAAAATACAAAGGATACAAAAAGAAGAAGAAATGGAAGACCTCGACTCAGAAGAAGAGTATACAAACCCAGAAGAATATATAAAGAGGAATAAATATAGCACAAAACCAAATAATAAAAGAAATAAACAAAGAAATGGAAGCTATCAGAACAAAAGAAATGGAAAAGAAAACTCAGCAAGTACAGACCAGAAAGGAAATAGACCTAGGAAAGAAGCTGGGAGTATGAGAAAGACACAAGAGCAGGTACCAGACATGGAAAATATATTAGGTCAAATACTGAAAAGACTAGAAAGATTAGAGATAGCTGAAGAAAGGGCATAAAAAGCCCAACCAAATCACTCTTGAAGGCACTATAGTTGAATTAACAAGAACAGATAAGAAAGTCGAGAATTTTCTGCGAAGAGAAAGAGAAGTTTTTGAAAAAAGAAGAGTATCTTCTCATCTAAAAGAAAAGGAATGCAGAAAAGGAAAAGAAAAAGCAGTTGATACAGAACCATCACAAAACCAGTTAAAAGTGAAGTGGAAAGAAGGAAAAAAAGAGATAAAAGTAGCATGTCACAACATTAACAGGCTAAAAACCAAAGATTGAAAACTGGAAAACCTGCTTGGCTGGACAGAAGAAGAAGAAATTACAATATTGGGAATCACTGAAACAAATCTTGCAGAGAGAGAAGGAAAATTTTTATTATGCAAAACAACAGGAAAATATGTTGGATTTTGGAGTAGCGCAGCAGTAGACAAGAAAAAGGGATCAGGTATAGAGTTGTTAATAGAAGAACAATAGGCAAAACATGTAGGCAGAGTTAGAAAGATAAATGAGTACATAATAGAAATTATACTATACTTCAAGCAAATGGAATTGATAGTAATAGGGGTCTATATACTACCAAGTAACAAAGAAGTAGGAAGAAGTATCCAACAAAAAATAGTTGAAATTATTACAAAGAAAAATAGACGAACACAATTAATGATTATGGGAGACTTTAATCATACAGTGAACAATGTTCTAGATAGGCAAAACCCACA